TATATTATAGTATATATATATATAGTGTGTGTGTGTGTGTGTGTACGTGTGTGTGTGTGTGTGTGTGTGTCGTGTGTGTGTGTGTGTGTGTATGCAATCGCATGCCCCGTTCGATCTAGTGCAGACACATACCATTCCGTATACTTCAGAAATTCTGCTATAGCTCGTGTAGCGGGCATTGCACATGCACTATAGTCACATAGCCATTTCAAAAGACACTTGCCGCACCATTCTAAGTGCGCTTACAGGTCGCCTCAGTATGATGAGGATCTAAATTGTGAGTCTGCACTCTGCACTCCCGGTCACAAATTGTAGCAACCTTTCAACCTATTAGCTATACAGGGAACGAGTGTTCACCCAGGAAACACCCCCGCACAAAGTATCGGATATATGCGCTACTCGAAATTAGGATACATTGGCTCACTTGCTATGGTCGTATAGACTCCTGCACAGATGTGAATATGTTCAGAACATGGTCTGTTCTGGTACTGTTATACATTGCAATACCGGAACCAAATTACTTACAAACAACCCCAGCATAATGAAATTCTGCGGAGCTTTCCTGGCAAGCCCTGGCGTACATGCCAACCCCAACAGAATACCAATAGCCAAAACCATGGCCACTAGATTGATCCTGGAAGATTAACAAGATGAGACAAAACATATCAGTGCATGATTCAGGATACCGATAGCCCGAATCAAAGGAACAGAATACATCCTGGTATTAAAAGCTAACAAATCTGCTTGCACTCGTATATAAAGTATATGCAGGTTTACACGCCGAAACACTTACCAAGAGTTCTTCAGTACCCAGTCCCGGACTCCCGGTGTGTATACGAAGAATGCGATGACACCCGACGTGAACAACAACATAATGGACAGCAGGGAGTACACTTTCTTGACAAAGCCTGAGCAATCAAAACGATGGAATCGGTGACACCAGGGCTTATGCGTTGACGTTTAGTTCAATACACCGGGTAGCATGGTACATGGGCGGTGAGCAGCGTGTTATTCTTTGATGAAGCATGTGCAGATGACACGATAGAATTGGTGACTATAGGACTATTTAACGCTTTTTCCGATAAATTGTGTACAATACTAGAACTCTAGAACGGTGTGAGGAATCGGACGTGTTTGTCCATTTACAGGCCGGAAGGTGTCATTAAGAATAAGAACAATATTTTGGACAGCTTTTTCCTTTGACAGGCCTATTTACACTGGGGCACACCGTAATGCGAGACTAAAACATGGGGTGCTAGCAAATTGCACGGCCGATAGTATCTGATATGGATTGGAGGGCGCCTTTGAGATGGCTGTGATCAAATGATGTTAATGCTGCGAACGTGTGTGTCACAACGAAGTGCAACCACAGCGTGGAAATAAAGACACGCGCATGTTGTCTCGTAAAGAGAACGTGCATGTTCCATACCAAAGATGTGCCCGGTAACCCACATACACTGCATATACCAATACGTGCACATATAGTCACATCTAGAACAAGCGCTACGAGTGGTCATACCTTTTCTAACCGCTTCATCTTCCCACACACTGGGGTCGACCTTGAAAGTATCATCGTCTTGTACCGGAATTTCAATAGATGACTCTTGCCCGTTGCCGTACTGCGGTGGCATAGGTTCTCCAGGATTGCCTCTATATATTGTATGTTTTGTGGATATAGAATACATGTGAACGCGTATGTGAAATTCTATAAAGTATGTCTATACGAAAATACATCTTGTATGGTTCAATAGACACAACTCCGCAACTCATGCTTAAGCCAAGCCAATGTAATGACAGACAGTTATATTGCCACGAGTACTGAGCGTTCACAGCTATCGACATGACAAAGGAGTAATCTAGGAAAAACGATAACATATGAACAGAAAGAGAAACATTCATGAATGAACACATAATAGGCAAACCATATATACGTTAATATAACAAGAATACAAGTGTATGCTTTCGTACACATAACAAAAATTATGAAAACATATACAAATTCATATATTGTGGCTAACATATATGTAAACATATATATATGACTGCATATATATATTATGTATACATAAATATA